AAGGTGTAAAAACAACCTTTCGAGACTTCAAAGAAGGGCAGGGAGATATGTTAAGTATTGACACAGATATGCCGCTGCTTATTTGGACTGAGCAATGGGAAGGTGAAACGCCCAACAGATTACAGAACCATGTAAAACTGTGTAACCAGAAAAGATTGGTGTTCTGACCCCTGCTTAGAGAGCCCTGATTACTTATTTTGTGCCCAGATTATTTTGAAAAATTGGCAACTGGGTTAAAACAACAGATTTAGATGAGGCGGTAGCCACTTCAGGACCTCTTTCGAGGATTATGGCAAGGGGTAAAGAAGAAGCAAAGGAGAAGCTGATCCCCCTAGCTGGAACAAATTTGAAGACCTCATGGATGCAATATTTAGAAGAGCAATGAAGGACAAGAAAATGCATAACACACAGAGTAAATAAAAGGCAGAATCAGAAGCCCAGGACTGTTTCTAGGATTTTTTTTAGAACATTTATGTCACAAGAAAAATAAATGTTCATATGGTGTTTTTGTTTTGTATTCCCTTTGTGTAAGACCCAAGCATCTGATGTTATAGAAGGTCATGCTCGATGGAAATGAACGCTGCGAGCTGAAGGAAGGGGCACAGGAAGAAGCATGGAGGGAGGGAGTCAACATGGACCTCTCGCATCACAAGAGATCCTCATCAAGATCTTGATGGTCCACACTGGCGCTGGGGTATAGAAAGCCATTGAGGTGGAACTTGCCAATCTCCACTGCTTGAATCCGTCATATGCCAACTGGCAAAACCACTTTTGCTGATGGCACTGAAACCATGTGAGCTCACCAAGACCCTCCTTTCTTGCAGCAGTCTTGCCTTCCATACCGAGTCTGTAACTTCACCGGTACCCATAGAAAATAAGCCACACATACTAAATGGAAGGCCCCCTGTGCAGGAGCAAGTCTCCCTACAACAGGCCTGCAGGAAAAGGCCAGGCATGCCTGCGAGGAGCAACGGCCCCGGCCATGCCCTTGGCATTCCAATCTGTCGAGGGCAGGATGTGTAAATTTGCTACCTTGACAGTCTCGTGGCCTGCGTTTGAAAAACGCCGGCACGCTTGCATCAATCCTCCCGTGAGTAATCACACTGTGATCCCCTCCTTCCTTGGTGGCCTGGTAATTTGCCACTCTCAGTCCAAGGACAGTGGGTGAGTCAATACATCTTCCCGTGAGGTCCAGTCATCTCTTCTCCTCATCAACTGGGGAAGAACGGAGCTTATGAGACTGGCTTTGAGAGGGCTCCACAATGATTGAATCCAGGTGAGAACGCAGCCACCATGCAGTGTATTCTCTGCATGTTCTCCACCTATGTTAGTATCAGGGACAGAAGCTGGTCTTTCCCTGATTGTTGCATTGTCGGAAGCAGTGCTGGTAAGAAGGATCCAGCTGCTGGTGACGCTTTCTCCATGGATACCACATCCGAGGCCAGATCTCTGTGGGTTGGTTCCAGCAGTTGGGTCCCTAGAGCCATATGTGACACATGGTCAGAATAATAGCCCCTATTTTCAGCTGGCAAGGTGGGGTCCTGTGTAGCCTCCATGGCATCCAGAAGGAGGAGGAAGGTGCTGATGACAAAGGAAGCAGCAGCTGGGATAGTGGTGTCCTGGAGGAGGAGAGAAACCACACTTTGGAGCAGGAGCTGCAAGGCTGGCTAAAGAGTGGCTGCAAGAGGGGGAGAGCTCTGCTCCTCAGTCTTCCATGCCTGTGAAACTGCCATGCTGGTCTAGCAACCCAGATGGGTCTAGGTGGAGGCATCAGAGCATCCCACTCTGGAGGTCCGGAGATCAATACCAAGGGGACTGACCAGTGGCTGGGTGAGCATCTCAGGAGATTGTGGATTGGTGTGGGGATGCTCGTGGCTTCTCCTCTCCAGCTCATCTTCCCTGGAATGATTGGTAGTTGGAGAGAGGTCACTCCAAGGGTTGGTCCAAATGTGAAGGTTCTTGAGAAGGCCTCCTCAACACAAGAGGAGCACATCTGTCTAAAGCACAGTGCTCTGATACGCAGTGAAACACCTCCTTCTAGGATGCACTCACCTCTCCTGCCCGAGCATTGCTGTGCGTTGCAGTGAAAAGCAAAAGTAGGGGAGGCGAGGAAAGGTGAAGAGAAGCGCCGCCTCAACTTTGTACCGCACATCTCATTTGCTTTGCTCTAAACTAATGAATGCCTGTTCCTCTGGAGGCAGGAGAGGATCAAAGGAAATCTTCTGTACATGTAACAGATCCCGAATTCCTAATTTTCCCCGATAAAGGACCTTGTTTTAAACAGCAAATACCGATGCAGATCAAAGCCTGGATTGGCCCTTCTGTAGCAACCCTCGGAAGGCTCTGGGCTGGGAAGACACACGTGGCTGCGGCTGTGGAGCTGAAGCAGATAACTGGGCCCCCTATTTGCCAGAAAGATTGGCTGCAAATCAGAGAAAGAATTGGGCTTCCTGGACATTACAGAGGGAGGGGCTTTCTTTTTCTTTTTCTTGCAGCCCCTCTCTGGAAAAAGACACAACTGGAGACTCTGTAATGACTCATGAACAACAGTAGAACCTCCTTATCTCAGCAAGGCATAGCACAGAACTTATCACTGGACAAGAGGAACCTAAATCCCCATGGTCTTAATTAGGCTATGATGGGATGGCAGTGCTGGTTTATGAGGCAATAATACAGCTCCCAAGAGGCCGAGCAATGTCTTGGCTCAGTGTGTTATCCTGACAAAGAAAACTACCGGAGGACGGTGGAGAAAACGGCTGTGCAGCACAGCAAGATGGAAACAACCCAGGTGTAAAGGAACAGCGTTGCAAAGGGGGGAGCCCCTACCAGCTGGGGGGTGGGGGGGGGTCTGTTTCTGCAAAGGTAGACAGCCGAGAACAATATTTGACTTGGCCCATTCTAAATATGCAGCACCAATTGGTCAGTGTATTATTTTCCTGCCCAATTCAAAATGAAATCGTGTGCAAACTCAGTCCCTGGATATTTCAGGGAAGTCAAGTCATCACCTGTGTTTGTTCTGACGCACAGTGACCCAGCGGCTCCTAGGTGTGAATGCAGCTTCATTCCAAGGTGAAAATGCCTCCATGCATTCGTATGAATGGCTAATAACGAAAATAAATATATGCCACAGTTTCTTAGGAAGGATCCTGTAACCCTCTGTTCTGGGGTCGTGCAAAGCTTAAGTAAAGCTTGCAGATATAGAGCACAGAAACCATCACGAAAGCATGGGAACTCATCCCCATGCTGGAATCTCACTCCGCACTCCATTCTGTCTCATATTCCTGGTTCAAAATTACTTCCTGCCACACCACAATCCAAAACAAAGCATCGGGCGCCTTTAAAATGTGCAAGGAACTCTGGCTTATTATACAAGAGCAATATCCACTAATTATGGAGAACAGGACTTTTCTCCTTTTTGTGCATGATTTGCATTTTGGATTTATGAGGTTAGATTGTGTGTGCATGTGTGAATGCATGCACGGCACACGCACTCGCCAGTCACAGAAAGAGGAAAAAGATTTAGTACAGGTGTCTGGCAACCAATCTGTTGGTTCAGCAAGCAAAAGGCTGACAGAGCGATAGAGTTTGCAGGAGAAGAGGTGAGGGAAAAGGGAAGCAGGAGGGGGAAGACAAAGTCAGAGCGAAAGAGAGAGCAAAAGGCACCAGAACTGCAAAATAAGAGCAATGCAGTACAACAGCTGAGAAGAGTGGCTGAAAAAGCATCTAGAAATCTGGTTCATCTAGTCCTACCTGCCAGCAAGAGGGTGTCCCTCCCTCCCTCCCTCCCTTCCTTCCTTCCTCTCTCTCCCCCTTCCAATGCTTGTTGCTCTTGAGCATCTGGTTGCTGCGACCTGCCACTGACTACTTGCCGTGGGGAACTGTGCTGTGACAGGACGCAGCCACAGCTGTGACTGGACCCTTCTGGGAAGAGTTCACAAAGACCCGCCCTGGGGTAGGCAGGAGGGTCAAACTCTGAAAGCGAGACAGCAGAGGGCTGTGGCATTCCCCCTGCTGGCCGGGACTCGGAAATGGGCCAGGTTTCTATGTGACCCTGACCTAGGACAGAACCGTGGTAGCAGGACATTGTGGAACACCGGGGGGGTGGGGGGGAGAAGGTGTAAGATTGCAAATAAACCACCTTCTAGCTGATTGGGAATGGGATGGAACCATCCACGCTGATGTATTCATCTAATCAGTCATCCCTGGTTCTCATTAGAGACTTCTATCCTGTTGGTTCAGATGGGCTCAGCAGCTGAATCACCTCTGTTAAGACTGTACATTTCTTCTTTTCCTTCACTCCTGCCTTCTTTTCACTCTTCCACTTTTCATTTGCCTGTCTTTGGACTAACCTCTAGGGATGGGGGGTGGGGGCTAAAAGCCAGAATATATCAGCGGGGGAGAGGCGGGAGATGAGACACAAGGTGCTCTCATAACCATTGTCATGAGAAAGGGAGGAGGAGGAGGAAATAACTTCAAAGCAGTGGAGGACTGAGATGGCTACAAGTCACCAGCTGCTCTGATCCCATCCCATGGGCTACTGGTTAGGGTTCTTCTTGGCCTGCTTGCAGCGTTGGAATTCCAGGCTGACTCATGACAGGACTTCCCATTGACGGTGGGTGAGGGGGTAGAGCTGGAGTGGACATGAGCCAGCTGTGTTCCTTGGTGCAGCCCCAGCTGAGGCTGGAACGCAGCGGTGTGGAGAGTTGGTGGGATTCAGGACAGCTCAGTCAAGCTTTCCAGAAAAGCTCTGGACCATGTACCGTCTAACGGGAGGACAACCCATTTTACTCCCAGTGACTGAGTGGTTTTGGAGGTGGTGCTGAGGAACCCTAGAACCTTGGTCATGGAGAGGTCAAACTCCAGGCTAAGTCTGCCTTGACGGGACCCGCTCAGGATTTCAAGGCCCCCATGACAACCATCGAGCTTTATCCTCTCAGTTTTTCAGACTGTTTTGTCCCCCATGGTCCAGGCAATGAAACCAGATCTGTTCCCATCTCTACCTTTGCTACGTCGCCGGCTCCTGTACTGCTCTGTGTAGAAGGTCAGCTGCGTTTCATCGTCTGCCTCAGAGCCGGAGTTCCCTTTGGCACGGCCAAATCCAATCCCACCTAGAAAAGAGAGAACCAGGGTGTCACTGCTGACGTTCCCAGCCATCAAGTCATCCAGAAAAACAGCCTCACACATCGGTCTTTCTCCATATCGCCTTTAAAAATTCCTGCTCCCAGGGATTCTGAAATTACGAGAGGAAAGCATATTATTTTTGTTAAAAAAAAAAAAAAAGGAGGGACATGAAAGTCCTTATAAAAATAGTTGGCACATGCCTCTCACTCTGCATGGAGGTTAAAAGGAAAGGAGCCTTCAGGGCTTTACCGTGGCCCTTTAAACCACCATTAAAGTATTTTACTGTTGTAAAAACCCTTTATTATTCCACATAGAAGTATAGTCTCCAAGCTTCTTGGCAAGGGAACTGCGAATGAAAGTGGCACCTTTCTGCCCTGCAAGAATCTTAATCACTTCAAGCGAAGAGGCAGAATACTGCACCGGACTGGAAAGAGAGCAGCTTGAGAAGCGGAAACCGTTTTCGAGTGCATCTGTTCCCCAACCGAGAATCATGAGAAATACTCGGCCCCAGACGACCAGCCCACTCGAAAGAGAAAGTTGGTCAGGCAGGGAGGTGGGGTGGAGACGCGAGTCCCAGCAAAAGCAACAGAAACCACCAGCATGTGATGGAAGGGAAGAGCACAGTGGGAACTGCATTTGCGGTGGGGAGGGCTGGGCGTGCGCCCAGTCAAAATATTGCCACAGGAAGGCCAAACATTTTTAAAGTGTTGCCTTTGTTGGAAACAAGAGACGGACGTTATTGCCAACAAACAGTGCGAACAAGATGAGAGCAAGATCCACTTCACTGTCGCCGCTGCCCCTTCCGTTGCGGCTTTCAGACTGTCGCTTGGCGTGCAAGGACTGCATTGTATAGTTGAGTCTATTTGAGCTTCTTCTGAGGGTCTTTTTAGCGATACTGAAAAGGCAGGCTGTGAATGCGTTACATAAATAAATACAGAAATGCCTCCGCTAATGGTTATTATGCAAAAACAGAATTGATTTTAAAGGGCGAAAGTTGATGAAGTCCAACTACTCACAAGAGCCTTGTAAAACAGACAATCGGAGTAGAGGAATGGATTCTGTTTCTTGCAGTGAGGAAAGCACAACTGACTCGCCCTTCAGGCCTGTAATTTAGGCCTATTTAGGATGATACCTGCAATGGATGGCCCTAGCAAATGACGACTTCATAGGCCTTTCCGAGGAAAGTGCCCCAAATCTTGTTCTTACTGTCAAAAGATATTAAATATGTACATGTGTATGTTCCTGTAACAACACTATCTGTATACATTTCTGCTTCTCATTTTGAAATATTTGAACACTATCTGCTTCTCATTTTGAAATATGTGTGTGTGTGTACGTACGTACGTACGTACGTACATATATATATATATATATATATATATATATATAGAGAGAGAGAGAGAGAGAGAGAGAGAGAGAGAGAGAGACTGACCGACCAACTGACCGAACTTTTGGAAATATAGAAACTTATATATACATTTCTGCCTGCAATCCTGTCTCTATGGAATATATGTGGCCAGAATCAAATGATAGGCAGAGAAGTTATGGATATATTGCAATCTTTGCGGTACTACTGGTTTGTCAAATTTGGCGCAGCATTTGCAATATTGGGAAGGCAATGTCACACAAAATAAGCTGACTGAAAATGGGTAGGGCATTAAGAGAGCGTTTTACATTCTAGAATCATTATCTGCCATAGGCAATTTTCTGTTCCATTTGATTGCATGCGTTTTTCAAGCATGTCAAAGTAATTTGAGTCGTTTCTCACATTTCGCCAAAGGATCGGAATTCCTCTCCTCATCTGCCTCCTGCAGAATTGAGCTTTGCAAGTCCAAAAGGAGGGAAGGAGAATGGGCGGAGGGAGAAAGACAAACATTCACTGATGGGGAACTCTGTAAAATTCTGTTCAAAGGAAAATAAATCATGACCAAGGCTGGCTGCTATTCCAAGCCCCCTGGCCAAGTTTCAGCAGTGTCTCTGCTGTGATTTGCTGGCTTCCCTTCAGCTCCTGGTAACCCCCTAACCGGCCAGCAATTCACAGTGAACGTTTGCACCGGCACGATGACAGAGCCACACAGCAGCTATTAATAGAATTATGCTTTCTCTGAGAGATACGACTCTGAATGCAGCTTGACCAGCACAAAACCCTCGCATGCCACAAGGATGAGGCTTTTACCTATACGGTGCTGCCTTGCCTGACTCGTTGGCTCATTGGTTCATGGTCAAGGGGGCTTTTTCTGCCCCTCCGAATGCACAAGGTCTACCCTGAAAAACATTGCGTGGCTGGAGGAGAGGGAAGTCCACTTATGTAAGCCGTCCTGAGGCTTTTGCGAAAGGACAGCATATAAATATTCTAAATAAATTAAAATAAATAAATAAATAAATAAATAAATAAATAAATCACCCCCCCCCCACACACACACACACTTGCTGAATTTTGCAATACGGTGTTCCAGGACCACCCCTCCATCCCAAACCCACCCACAGGTGCTGAAGCAAAAACTGGATTGTTTCCTTCTTTCTGCTAAGGGCAACGGCAGTGTTGCTCCGTAGAAAACAGTTATTACTTATTTATTTAAAACATTTCTATGCTACCCCCATCACAACAAAGCCTCGGGGCAGCTCACAAAGAATACATAAATACATACATAAATAATGATAATATCACAATAAAAAAAATTGTTTAAAAACCCCGGTGCATTCTCGGCTAAAAATTTTGAAATCCTAATTAATTCAATAATTTAACAAGTAAGATAAATTTTAAATAAAACGGTCTTTGCCTGGCACCGAAAAGCAAATGACGGCACAAGGCGGACCTCTCTGGGGAGTGCATTCCATAGATGGGGCGCCACTGTAGAGAAAGCCCTCCTCCGGGTACTCTGCCTCCTAATATCTTTCACGGAGGGTTCCCGGAGAAGGGCATCTGTTGCCGATCTCAAGGGGCGGGAGGGCATATATGGACGCAGGCGTTCCTTTAGATACCCAGGTCCCAAGCCGTTTAGGGCTTTATAGGTCATAACCAACACCTTGAATTGGGCCTGGACTTCAATTGGGAGCCAGTGGAGCTGAGGGAGAACTGGGGTTATATGAGAACAACGCCCAGTCCCCATACCCAGTGCATCCCCTGAGCCTGGATGATCAGGGAAGCAGTGCAGGGAAGGCTGGCTGGATTCTTTTCTCCTTTTCTGAAGGCTTTCCCATGATGAACAATATCTGTTAATTTTATTCAGTCATGACAGCCCAGGGAGCATGTCACTAACAGGCATCTTTTAAAATAATAATAATAATAATAATAATAATAGGAGGGGGAGAGGGAGAGGTAGTTATGCATCTCTTGATTTAGTTATAAAATTATCATTATGCTTAAATGCCTTTAAAAGTAAACACAGCAACTTTGTAATTACTGGCTGAATAGTTTGAAGAAAGACATTTTATTTCAAGAATGACATTTTATTCACTTTTGTAAATAATCGCTGCTAATGAACCTCTTACTCATTTTGAAAGGTTGTCTCTGCTGGTCATTTCAGTCCCATGCGTGGGTCATAGGAACCAAGCTACTGAGTTCGTTTTGGTGGAAAGGGCTTCTTCTAGCGGCAGCAGTTAAAAGGTTTTAGAGTGGAGGCAGCATTGCCTAGTGGTGACCTAATCGCACAGGCTGCTTTCTCACCCATGCCCGCAAGGAGACCTGTCGTGCTTCCACTCAAAACAGCAGGAAACCCCCCCCCCCCCCAGAAATATTTCACCCACAGGCTGCAGACTGTGCTGGTGTCTTTTTAAGCCCCTCTAGTTTTCTCGGAGTTCTCTAATCTGACCACACATACACCTTATGCATCTCTCATCCCCCAGAAAATATACACCTATGTATATCTGCTTAGAGAGTCCTTGGACTAATTTCATGGAGAGTATAATTGAACGAACGGACGAACGAACGAACATCTACAGCAGTAAATCCTGCTTTGAGAGCTGTCCGCAGAACAAACAACTTAGCAAAATCTGTTAAACTGGATGCCACCCTATGCATAGGCAGTCAGATCAAAGGCCTACATTTCCCAGGATGCACCTGCCAGCAGGAAAAAGCCACCCAAAGAATATTTGCTTCACTCCAGTTATTTAGCCAAGGGATCTAAATAACTCCCATCTTCACTCAACCTGGCATCTGCATCATGGTATGTGAGGATCTATTTTAGGCAGTGAATTCATCAGTGAAAAGCAGGAAACTCTGTGGATAAAGGTTTGGGGAGCGGGGGAATGAGGCAGACGCACGCCGGGGTGGATGCGGGAAGGCGTTCCGCTCCGCGAGCGGTTGCCAGTCTTCACCCTCCATTTTCGTTGGGCTGCCGGTTGCGTCGCCATGATGGATGGTGCTGACAGGTTAAATTACCCAGGCTGCACATCTTTAAAGGGCTGGTGACGGCGATACTGCATTTTCTGATTACCTAGAACCTGCACAGGGTTTTAAAACATGGGGATGGGACAGACCAAATTCTGGCTGAGTGGGCCAGCAAAATGGTCTGTGTCCTGAATTCTTGTGACAAAACTCTGGTTATTTGATGAGGAAATACGAGAGTGTCTTTGGTGTGTCCAGGAGGCTAAGTTTAGTTTGCAATTAGCGAGATTACTGTGGATAACTGTAGCATTCAAGCCCCTGCGAATACCACTGAAGAGGCGAATTTAGCTCTTTGCCTAATACAAACAGGATAATGACAACCAGTAATGAGCAGAGAACACTTTAAGAGCATGGCTCAAGAGCAGCCTGCTGTGCAATACTGAGAAGTCATATTGGTTTGTGTGGCCATGTGGTTTAGATACTTAAATTGTCCTGGCATCAGCCCACGTGATCCTCATGGACATCAGAAAAACCCATGGGCGGCTCTTTTGGCACTTGCCAGGCTCCTTGGTTTCTATTTGATTATTCGAGATGCTGTTAAAATTTGTTTCTGCTCTACTGAACTGGCCGGCCGCAAAGCAAAGAGCTGCCTTCCCGCAC